AAACCCGGGTTCTAGCGTTTTAAGCCCCCAAACATACCGCTGTGCCACTGGGGGGGGGAGCTGTAAATGCTATCGATTTTATCGAGACAACACGGTACTGCAGATTTTATTCAATGGTTTCATGGCGTTTAATGGAGCTGGTAAGCATGTATATCAGTGTGTATTTCGTAAGAACAAATAAATCTATTATTTTCTTTATCGACTTATTATATATATATATATAAGTATCGACTGGGGAAGGGGACATAATCGGCATCTATAATTCTTTATGTTATTTATGATGAAAAGGGTAGCACATCCTCAAATATATTGATAGAAGTCAAGGCAGCTAATCAATAACACCTAATGCCAACTCTTGTCTGACCGATTACGAAGAGTTGGCTGTCTAGATGCAATATCTTCTTTGAAATGGGCCCCTATTGGGTCAGCGGTAACCTTAGGGGCTTATAACACTAAAATGTGGGATTCGATTCCTGTAATTGGTACTGCGTAAATAGCTCATTGTGTAGGTTTGCGCTAAAGAAACAAGTAAACTTTGAAAATTCTCTGGGCTATAAAACCAGAAATGACTTCAAGAATCCAGTAGCAGATGGTTTTCATTGATAATAACCATTTCAAGAGCAAGTTAAAAGAAGTTCATGACTGATGTTTACTTTTTTTAACCGTATTAGCTTCAGCCCCCCACCCCAGTGGCATAGCAGTATATCTGCGGACTTACAACGCTAAAAATCGGGTTTCGACACCCGTGGTTGGCAGAGCACAAATAGCCCATTGTGTAGCTTTGTGCTTAATATCAAAACAACAACAACAACAACTAGCTTCAGTAAATGATCAAATCAATTTTATATATTTAAAAATGTCTAAGTAAAATAACACTTTTTAAAAGATTTGTGTAAACAGTGTCCGACTTTGTTTGTAAGCTTAAATTTTAACTAAATAAAATTTTGCAATATTTCTGCTCAAGCATATGATTGTTTACTTTTCTGGTATAACATTTTTGCATACCTTCGCGCAACCAATTAATTTTGTAATGCAACACCATGTTCCAAGTATTATGGTTGGTATTATTCAAAAATGATCTCGTCACTCTAGTATTAATATCCCTTCAAGACACTCATCCGTGATACCTGAGCACGTGCGCCACGTTTGGTCCCGCTAGCTTATTTATGGGGGAGGGGTGTGAGTATGTGAATACAGTTTCAAACATGGCACACCCGGGATCACGACCACTGTAATATAGCATTACGTGTTGATTATATTAATATATTACTATTTGTTGGCTACTCTGATATAGTGTTATATGTCATCTATTCTAACATAATACAAGTGGTGACCACTGTAATATAGCATTACATGTTGATTATATTAATATATCACTATTTGTTGGCTATTCTGATATAGTGTTATAAGTCATCTATTCTAACATAGTGCAAATGGTGGCCACTGTAATATAGCATTACGTGTTGAATATATTAATATATCACTATTTGTTGGCTATTCTGATATAGTGTTATATGTCATCTATTTTAACATAATGCAAGTGGTTACCATTTGTATTATGTTAGAATAGATGACATATAACACTATATCAGAGTAACCAACAAATAGTGATATATTAATATAATCATTATGTGTTGACTATTTTAATATAACATTGTTGGTTATTCTGTGTATCGAATATCCGAATTTGGTAGAGTAGGACTAATATGATATAAGGTGGTAAACTATTTTCATATACACCTACAGAGGGCGTCGCCTTGCAGCACTAAATTGTGGGTAGATGATTTCATCCTGCTAGAAACAGTTGAAAGAACTCACATTTTAATAGCTAAGAAAGTAGTGAAGTTTCATTTCAAGTGTGTGGCACTTAATATGACATATATATATATTATATATCCAAATGAAACATATACACCTTCTGATTCATTTTTTAAAGTTCAAAACAACCCAGTTGCCCGTCACGTTTGATTCACTTGTGAGTCACGTTGAAACAATCCTAGGCACATGCTCAATTTTGTTAACTGTCTTAATGTAATACTTTCATTAATTCAACATAAATATTTTTTATCAAAACTAAAATAACACCTGTGAATAATCCAGTAATACTTTCAATATTCCAAGATAAAATTTTCTGTTTACTATTCTAACATAATTAAATATGCTGATGTTTTATAATACATTCATGTCGATATTTGTATTTGTTTTCAGCTATCTGCGCTGTGCCAACCGCGGGTATTGAACCCAGAATTTTAGCATTATAAACCTTCAAGCTTACTGCTGAGCCACCGGCGGGCTTGCATATCGACTATTGCAATATAACACTTTATATTTTCATCGTTATAATTTTTTTTAAATCTCTCTCTCTGTTCACTGTACTCATAATTCTGATTGTCCGCCAATTTTTCACGCATGACTCGTAGGATCAGATGTCATAAAAAAAGTTAAAATATTTTTAAACACTTTTTTCCTGACCGGCCTGTCCCACTGTGACTCACCAGTAAGCTTGAGGGTGTATAATGATAGAATTCGGGGTTTAATTCCCTGCGCGGACAAAATGCAGATAGCCCATCGTGAAGCTTTTTGCAAACCTAGCTGGCACGATACATCTTAGAAGAACTCATAATGTTGTTCAGCTACACTGTGGCATGTTTTGATTGTTCTTGCTTGCTTGGTATGGACTATGCTTAGCAAGCTTGAGTGCTTAATAAACACTATAGAACTTAGAGTACTGTTATAAATCTATTTGAATGCTAATTCTGTGCTACTTCGCCACCGTTTATTCTGTAATAAGTCAACCCTCCAACTATTCTAATATAAAGTATGCCACATTAAATATATCACTGCAGCTCACCTATGACCCTGTCTTTAAAGTGTTCTAACGAAATTTCAGTTCGTAAGTTTAGTATCTCGAATATTTTAATGGAGAATTCAGCCAGGTTATTTTCAATAAAACTGAATTTAAAATATTTTGACTGAAAAAATAAGTACAGTGTTTATATGATTCATCTAAGGAAGACTAAAAGTCTAAATATAGATTGAATTTAATGTTAAAACTAGACGAAACTTGGTATCTAGAGGGCGTTAAGTTTTCATGACAATCCTAGGAAAAATCCTTTTATTACATTGTACAAAATTAAAAGAACGTGAAAAAAAAATCTTACAGAAATGGCTAAGCACACTTTCTCAAGTGAGTTTAAAATGAAAGTTTAACCACAGCGGCCTACTTACCTAGAATAAGAAAAGGAACAGCGTAGAAGAGCCACAATACCGTAATCAGATAATGCATGGCAAGAGTTAATTGTACACCAAACAGCAACGGTGCAACGGCGAACCTAAACAACTCCAACTGATCCACATGGAAATTGGATTAACGAATAATCTACCTTGCAGGTGTCACATGTGTGTGCGACGCAGTTATTGGTAAACCAAAACTCTAAAAAACACCTAACGATTTTGTTTCACATGATCGAGAAGGTGAAAGCAGCTTATCTCTTAAAACCCTTAAGCATTTATCTTTCTCGCGCGCTCTTTAGTCTCTTTGCAGCCAGACTCTATGCACACGCTACACCTTGATGGAACGCAGGGTGGTTACTGACGTCACAGACAACTTTCTGGCCGGCCGGACTGCTAACTCTACAGGTACATTTTTCTACCAAGAAAGCTGGTCACGTTTAAGGTGCATGTCGTGCAGCACCCATTATAATTAGTGGATATTCTTAAAAGGCCTCGTAATGCTGGTACTGGTGTGGTAGTTCATTGCTTCACTTTTAAACAATAGATATGAAACTGAAATGAAACATACTTGTTTAAAACATTGTTCTTGTTTTGTTTTTGTTTTTCGTAGCAACTCGCCCATCGGCTAATACATGCTTTAAATAATAAAATTACATTCTAAGGTAAAAGGTAATACATGTACTTTTTTTTCTGGTCGCTGCGTTTAAGGTGTGCGAATCGACTCATAGAAATAAGTAGAATGTTTAAAGTTAACTCATGAATGACGTGGCTACAATATCAGTGTGGTCAGAACACAGAGAAAGTTTGATTCTTGTCTTATCACTTTCAATGTCCAAATGTATAATACTAGCTTCAAAATCTAAACTTTGGAGTCGTTTGAAATATGAAACTTCTAATAGATTTCGTGTCCTATCTCTAGGAAGCGAGCGTTATCTATTGGGTAGCGTGCTGGACTATGGATCCGAGTGTCAATGGTTCGCTTCCCGTTGCCGCAGAAATGCGCTCCGCTCTTTGGAACCGTGAGTGTTATAAGAATGACGGTCAAATGCCACCATTTAATTAGAGTAACCCAAGAGTTGGCGATGCTGTTGACTAGTTGCATTCCCTCTGGTCTATCAGTTCAAAATTAGGGACGGTTAACGCAGATAGTTCTTGTGAAGTTTGTGCAAATATCCTAAACAAACTTTCTCATAGTGTATAATATTTTTTCAAATAAAACTTTTCTAGTTCGTTATCAGAGTATTTCAAAGAGTGGATTAAATCTGAAAAGTTAAAAAACGTGAAAATTGTCTGGTTTGAAATTTCTTTCCTAAAATATTTCATATCTTCAATGAAACTATTATATCGTATGAAATTTACTGATTTGTGTTTTGTTTTGTTTTTAAACACTTCCTTGAACTTATCAATCAAGATCTCTCAAATAGATAAGATTATTGATAATTTCTGGTATTTCGTATTATTCATTTTTGATCGAAAACTTGTTTAACTTACAATTTTTTCAAGGTCTAATCTTAATTCACTATGTTTACAGCTTTTCTTTATTGAGTTTCTGATGAGCAAGAAAATAAGGTTTTGTAGTAATAGCTTATTAGAATGCACAACAAATCCTCAGTTAAGAATTGCTTAGTAAGCAGTTGCAAAATACTACCGTATTTGCCGATGTATAAGACGATACTTTTTACTATTAAAACAATGCTTGATTTTACACCTCGTCCTGTACACAGATTCAAAGATAGAGTTCCAGTAAAAACTCTCCGGTTAATAGCATATTTAACCAAAAGTACAATGTTTTTTTACTCTTTTTTTTTAGCATATTTGTAATTGTTTCATTTGTCTTGATTCTTCACAACTAGAAGTAAGTTATCTCACATGCTAATTACAATAAATCAAGACATTTTTTGATTTGAAATGTGTTGATCTCATCCGTCATACTAAAATATTGTTAATATCATATCAAAAAAGTTAGTTTCTGTAACGCACACTAATTTTGTAAACATGTTTTTTATAGCAGATCACTATATCTTAAGGTTAAGTTGTTGTTTTTTGTAATAGAAAAGGAGTTTAAATGTGGTGAAACTTTGTAAAGTTGTTTATTACATGTTTGTGACTTACGTTATGCTGCATTGAACGGTTTGTAGTACTTGAAGAGCATAAAAAACAACACTTGTGGTTGTATTGATTACCCTAGAGCGCAGGTTAACACAGTTAAAAAATAACTTCTGAGAATTTCTTTACAAAAGTAACATCCTAGACTTTCTTGACAATAGAGGTCGTTCTATACACCGAACCTCAAAGATATACGTTTAATTTGCTCAAAAAATCCAGGGTCGTCTTATATACGAGATCGTGTTATACACCTCTAACTACGGTACTAACGTTTGGTCATTCAACTTAAAATAACTGAGGGAATAATATTCATTAAGAACGATTCGTTATCATTTGCCAACATGTTTATTACATACTAAAACTAAATTTGACATTTACATAGCTCAGGTATTAAAGTTATGGGTGGCTGTTAGCCAGGAACAACACAACTTATCTTCTTGGAAGCTTCTACGGAAGCTTATACAGTCTTGGCCAAAATGTTTACCTACTGTTCTATGTTGATGTTATTGTCTATATGCATAGAGTAGTTGTTGAGTAAATGCCCAAGTAGTTACAGAGAAGGCAGCATATGATCGGACAAACGTGTACGAGTTGTTATTCTGGTCTATATAATTTGTTTTAAACATTTGTTCGTCGAACACACATACACACCTGTTTTGTGTAAAAGGGTGTGCTTTTGGTATAATATGTTTTGAAATAGATCAACGCTTTGTTTAGACAATTTCACTGTTCTTGGTATAGAGTCATGTCTCGTCATGTGACAGAAGTTATAGGGCGTCAAATTGTTCGACTGTCCAAAAATAGTAAACGGACATTACCAGAACAGTAGGGTATCCCAAGTGTAGTGTATCCAGAATCTTGAAACGTCATTGGACTACATAAAATGCTGTTCTAGGAAAGTCTACGGGTAGACGCCGAAGCACTACTGCCTGAGATGACCGTATTTGGTCAAATTAACAAGTCAAGATCGAAATAAGTCTTGCAACAACTTAAGACAGGAATGGCGTGAACACATTCATTCCAGGGTATCCAGAAGAACAGTGAATAAGACACTGACCAAACAAGGTTATTTTGCAAAAAGGGCTATCTGCAAACCAATATTGACCATAATTCATCACCGTCACCGTGTTACTTAGACAAGACAGCATGCCAACTTACAGTTAGGACACTGGCGACATGTCATCTTTTCAGATGAGTCGTGTTTCTAGTTTGTTAAAGCTTATGGTAGGATTTGTGCTCGTCGTTTGCCTGGAGTATAGATGAGGGAAGACTGTCTTTCTCAGAAGGAACACACAGAAGGTGGTGCAGTATATGGTTGGGCAGCTATTCATCATGGTGGAAAAACTGCTCTTCATGTCCTACAGAGAAACTTCAATTGCGCCTCCTACAGACATCACATGGAGACGATATGTCTGCCATATGCTAGGGCAAGGTCTGGCAATACCTTTGTGTTCCAGGATGACAATGCCACTTCCCACAGTGTGCGTATTGTACAGGATTATTTCGATTAGGGAGATGTTACAAGAATGATATTGCCAGCAAAGTATCTAGATTGTAATCCCATTGAGAACTGTTAGGCAAAACTGAGCCGGAAAATTGCTAACAACCCTAAATCAGCTACTGTAGCTGAGTTACAGCGTCTTCTGGTGACAAGTTGGGATGTAATCACGGTGGATTACATTAATAACCACGTCGCCTTGCAGAGGTTATTAGACTACGAGGAGGATCAACCAAGTATTAACTGTTTAATATCTACTGATATTAGGTTACAGTTGCTATTTATGATAATGTGATGTTATAATTTGTTATTATATGTGTTTTGGTAATTTTTTGTTGTGGTAAGCGAAATGCTGAACTCCACATCTTTTTACAGTTGTCAGATAAAATTGTTTGCTGTTCTAATAAATCGTGTCATTATAAACCTGTCTCATTATACAAATTACATATGTAAATAGTCAATATAACATGAATTTCTCAGTTTGACAGCACTAAGTATATCTGTATTCGATTTTAATAATATTATTTGTTTTTTTGTAGTTAAGCACAAAGCTACACAATGGGCTATCCGTGCTCTGCCCACAAAGAGTATCAAAACCCGGTTTCTAGTGTTGTAAGTCCGCAGGCATACCGCT